GGGGAGAGAGAGAGAGAGACTAAATAGAGAAAGATTAAGGTTAGCACCAAATATCAGCTTTCTACCTTTATTCCTTCATGGTCAGGTAAATAAAACTTGTGCTATGCCCCTCGTATACCAGAATAACTACCTTTCTGAGCCATATCTTGCACGACATCTCGCGCGTGCACGTCAATGACCACCAGAGCTCCGAGCGTGATGCGTTGTTGGGTGGTCAGTTTGCCGCGGACCAGGGCAACGATGTCCTTCATCTGTTCTTCTAGGGTCTGGTGGGTGGGGTGGGTGGAGGGAGGGGGAGGGGTGGAGGAGGATAGGGGGAGAGGGGGAGGGGTGAAAGGGAGAAGGGGGGAGTCATGATACGGGATCTCTGATGTTTTTTAGTTTTGTTTTTATAAGGTCATATAGATGTCTAAGTGCCGAAGATTACAGTCAGGTGTTACAAGAGAGTAACAAACATAAAAAAGAAGCAGAGATCAGGATGATAGATATTGGATAGGAAAAAAGGAGCAAACCACACCAGAGCATTCGCCAACCACCCACTATGTGAGTGTGCTTGAGGTCACTTAAAGATTTCAACAAATCCATTTTAAAAGTATTAATGTCAATTCCTTTGATGCTCCTTGTAGACACAGAATGTTTTTCAGGCTTGGTCTTAATCACACCCAACACAAGTAAAATGAAGAAATGATCAGAACATAGTTTGTCTAGTTTTTTTAGTTTTAGTGAAGGTTTTACGGCGCTGGCAACTGCATTAGGCTCTGGCCACACTGCGAGCAGAGCGGGCACAGCGCAGCTGTTTGAGGCGTTAACATAGGGTGGCCACACTGCAAGCAGAGCGGAGCGGGCGGTGCAATGCAACATCGTGTGGTATTATATTTTCATATCAGTTTCAGTTGCCCATGGATTGGAAATGATTGACGTTATTTGTCCTGGTCAATGGGGAGACTCAACAGAAAAAAGCAAGAAAGAAATAAGTGCACCCGAACATCTGACTGCAAATTCTTCCACTGATATCTGAATAAAAAGAGTAGAAGAAAAAAATGATCAGAATAATACGAGAAAGAGGTATCTAATTTTTTTTTTAATTTCTTATTAATTTTCTCTCATGCTTTATCCTGTTGTGGTGAATGGGAAATAGGAACATAAACATAATCATAGCACTCTCAGCGTGTTTAAAAGCAAATCAACGATACTATCTGAGTTTTGCAATATACAGAGAGTTTTAAACACGTAACTAAAATCTCGTACACACGCATATGCGATACGCACGCACTCAAATATATACACTCATATACACATATAATGTAATATGTTATAGGCCTACACAACAAACAACCTGCGTCTGTGGTGTAGCGGTAGGCACTTCGTTGTCTCACGAAGAAGACCCGTGTTCGATTCTAGAGTAAGCAAGAATTTTTATCAAGTATTTCGTTATTTCTGCTTTGACGTTGTTGTATCACTCTCAGCCAGGGTTGTGTGTGTGTGTGTGTGTGTGCGCGCGCGCGCGCGCGTGTGTGTGTGTGTGTGTGTGTGTGTGTGTGTGTGTGAGTGAGTGAGTGAGCGAGAGAGAGAGAGAGAGAGAGAGAGAGAGAGAGAGAGAGAGAGAGAGAGAGAGAGAGAGAGATGAAAGGGTTGGCGAAGGGAATGTTGGGGCTAACGATGGGGTCGTCGGCAGGTATAATTATGTTGTTATATCATTGAGAAGAGATCATGTAACGCCTTGTGTGGAATAAGAGTTTAGAGTACAAATTAAATTCATAGTGTAATGACTTTGGCCAAGTTGCACGACACCGGCGTGCTAAAGTAGTCCAGTTAAACGAATGTTGTTTTATTATTAATGCGCACATGCGTATATAATGCGCTTGTAAATAAACTTCAGATCTAATTCGTCTGTGCTTAGTTCACAACCCGACGTTCTGTCAAATCTCTACAATAGTTTACTCTGCTTTTCATCACCCTTTTCTAAGCTGTAACGTACTTTCTTTTTCCTTTCTTGTCATTGTTATTGTCACTGAATGTCAGTGTCAGACAGAAGGGAGAAAATTTCCAGCGTTTTCGAGCGCAATTGAATCGGGTTTATTTATCTTAGCTCGCAAAGCTTGAAAATATACTCACGTTTGCACGCAGGACACGCCTGAGCACGAATACAAGATATACCTATTCATTGTTCTCTAAAACATTCCCTTTGTGTACACTCATTTATCTCTCATTTTCTCTCGCGCCCCTCCCCTTCACTCTCTCTCTCTCTCTCCCACCTCCTCTTTGAATGTTATCTATTTCTTTTATTGACACTTTACAACAACGTGCGTGCAGACGTGAGCAAATTTCAAGCTAAGCCAGCGGCATTAAACAAACCGCCATCTTTGCGCTTGACCCGCCTCGAGTCGCGCAGCCAGTCACCTCTTTGTCTTTGTACATGTAATAATTTTCAACGCTGCGCTCTGCTGTGCCCGCTCTGCTTGCAGTGTGGCCAGAGCCTAAGGTCATATGAGCGTCAAAAGATTAGAGGTGTTACAAGAGAGTAACATACTAACAAACATAAAAAAGAAGAAGGGGAGACAAGGACGATAGATGTTTGATAGGAAAGAAAGAGCAAACCACACCAGAGCACCCGCCAACCACCCACATAGTTTGTCTACAACCGAATTTTTTTTCTTAAAGCGTCTGAGTCTTTCTTGATGACGACCCCGTCAAGTGTGCGGCCAGAACGATGGGTGGCTTCAGTGATGACCTGAACCAAGTTGTGCTGTCGGAATAATTCTGTCAAATGTTGAACTCCAGGGGACGATTATAATAATGGACTGCATTTATATTGCGCGTATTCACTTATGCAATGCTCTATGTGCTTAGCATGAAACATATTATGGAATTGTAAATCAATTTTACAGGCACATAGCATTGCATGATACGCGTGCACACATACTCACTCACGCACGCACCCTCACATACATACACACGTGCGTACATACGCACATACAAACCCACGACGATCTACAGCTTGGACTTGGATAGATTCTGTCTAACCGAAACATGATGAAAATAGAAAATGCTTTTAGTTTTTTTCTTTAAAATTTCTAGATTTTCTACTTCTTTGATAGTTTTTGGAAGCCTATTCCAAACAAGTGGGGCAAAATAGGAAAAAGAGCGTTAGCTATATGATTTGTATTGTAATTTATTGTAGGTTTAACAAAGGTTGTTTTGTCACTTGATGATCTCAGCGTTTTAGGTGGTACATAGGGTGTTACAAACTGTATTAGGTAGTCAGGTGATATATCATGTAAGCACTTTGAGAAAACGGCCGATAAAGAAAAAGAAAATACTGACTTTATGAGGAAATGGCGGTTACAAACATGCCCGGTATGGGAAAAAATACGGTTTTGGGGGGTTCTTATGCCATGAAATAGTTGTAGGAGAGGCTGAGGAAGCTAAAAATGCCTACAAATCAAATTCCATGATTTTGAGCCGAATTTTGATTTTGGGGGTGTAGCCCCCCCCCCCCCCCCCTTAAATTCATTAGTTGTTATTTTAAGGCTCAACGAACTTATGTATATGGCAGCAATGCCCCCCCCCCCCCTCTTCGACTTTGGCGTGGAAAAGATTTAACGATGTAGGTTGGAGGTACTAAATTAGCGAGTGTCACCTCATGATCATCACCACATGGTGTTAACCAAGTTTCGGTGAGAAAAAAGATGTCAATATTTTTCTCAGTGATGATGTCGAAAATATCTTCAGTTTTGTTTCTACACGATTGAACATTCATAATACAGTGGAAACCTGATATAACAGGGATGGCGGGAGTAGAGAAAAAGTCCTGTTAGTGTTATATCCGATCCCTGTTAAATCCGAAATGCAAGGAAAGTGAGCAATTGTGGACTAATCCAGGTGTACATATTCATGGGTAGTTAGGGGTTTTCGCACCGACTTTCTCCATTGCCTCACATCAGAAGAGCTTGGTCCACAGCATCTACAGCGGGTAGTCTCATCTTCTTTCGATCCAGAGCAAACTTTTCATTTCAGTATGCTGCCATTATCTTCTCTCTATCCTTGATAATGGTGGGAATCGACCCTTGTGGAATGTCGAACTGACGACAAATCTCTGCCAGTAGAGTTTGCTTTTTGTCAACAGTCTGGATTATTTCGTAATTTTTGTCAATTGAAAGGCATTTTCTCTTGCGCTTGACATCGTTGGTGACCATAATGAAAGAAGTAGGCTTCGATCTAGGCCGACCGGTCGTCCTCTCTCTCTCTCTCTCTCTCTCTCTCTCTCTCTCTCTCTCTCTTACCTTTTGCACGTTGTTAACAAGCCTTTGTCCCTGCTGTAACCGGTTGGGCTCCGATGAGGCCCTGTTATTGCCGATAACTTTTAATAGAAACAAAGAGTAGGAAAAAACGGGGATTTTAAACATCCCTGTTATTACCGGATCCCTGTTATTTCCGGCCTGTTATGTATGGTTTCCACTGTATTTAATAGGCTACATGATGTATAAGCCGTCCGAATGTGTCGGCTGTGTTCCTGGAAAATATTGTCGGCATTAATTCTGTATAAGTTGGTGTGACACACTTTTCTTCTCTTAGAATGAGAATCTGAGGAACTCACCTTTCTGTGGGATAGTTTCTCTTCTTCTTTCCTTTATCCTCCTCTTTTTGACCGTTTCGTTTTTGGAACTCGATTTAAGTTGTTTTTTCTTAGTCTCCTCATAACTGTAACTGTAACACTCTGGTGTGGTTTGCTTCCTCTTTCCAATCAAGCATCTATCGTCTTTATCTCCCCTCCTCCTATTTTGTGTTTGTTACTCTCTTACTTGTAGCACCTCTTATCTTCGGCACTTATACATGTATGACCTTGTTGTGTTGCAAGTGCCGTAAAACACTTACTGCAACTTGAAGGTATGTAACCATGGTCTTGAGGTGGAAATGACAACAGAGTGTGTGGAGAGTAAGTTATTCTATTGTCCTCTCAGAATACACTGTCTGTGTTAGAGCCACACTCACGCCATACTCACGCCACACTCACCACAGGCTGGGAGTCCATTGGAAATCGAATGTTCACTTGGCAAAACAAATTCGCGACCCCAGTACTTTTTTGTCGTATCTCCATTTTTAATAACAGCGAAAACAGCTCATAACAAAGAGTGAGCTTACGAAGAAGTCACATTTTCACTGTAAAAAAAAAATGGAGATACGACAAGAAAGCACTGTGGGCGCGAATTCTTTGGATATTTTAACAAAGAGACCGGAACTAAAACTGAGTAAAACAAGTAGACCAACACTGACTCCACTCGTCCACCTACACTGAAGAGTTGAAATATTTCTATTTTCTGGCAATTTTCATCCTTTCAAGAAAATTTTACATCGAGTAATTCATAAAATCTTAACACACGTGGAGGTAGATTCTATAATTTGTGAAAATGTCCAGAAATTAAAGCAGTGAGAAACAGCACAAAATAGAATGAGCATATAAAGAAGGCTGGCTGTTGGCGTGATCACAACTCACACGAGAGAGCACGTGGAGTGGATGGGGGGAGGGGGGGAGCTCATGTTTGCTTCTGACTTGGACTGTGTCTATATATGTGTGTTCGTGTGTTCAGGTAGAAAAAAAAGCATGCAAGTAAGTATAGCTCGTTCACTCTCGTCCGACCGCGGTTATGACGAGATAAAAACAAATCGCTCTGTTTAATCTTTCTGGGTCTTTGCATGCGGGTCTAAAAGTTAAGCCACCAACAGAATCTCAAAACCTCACTCATAAAAGTCACTGCAAACTAAGGTTCCAACACGTTTTCTTTGATGTATGCCTAAAGCGGGTCCAAAAAAATATTAGGGGATTTGCAACATACACCTAAAACGTTTAAAAGTTGACATGATATTTTCCTCAACACTACTCAACACGGTTCAAGAGACGGGGTGAGTACTTTTTGAGACTCACGTGGAGCACGTGGAGATGTCTGAACAGCCGGGGGATGAAATCTACAACTACAAGCTTACACTGAATAAATGTGGGGGCAGGGTGGTGTCGCTGTCTCAAAATGAGCAATTTGTAGGCAAGGTTACTCTAAGCCATTTATTTTAGTAGTCCTATGTTTATGTATGCATCCGAAGAGCGGTTTTTAATACAGGGCCCAAAGAGAAAAACTTTGTTTTATTACTGGGTCAAGATCTTTTGAAAAAATATTTTTGTCTGGTCGCTGGCCTGCAGAAGTGCCATGCAACGTTTCGTGGGCATAGGTAAATGTCTCAATGAGCGAGAATTTGTAAAGATAAGATAAGATATTACTTTACTATCTCAGAGGGGAACTTTCCTTGGCTGTACAGGACCGAAAAAACAATCGCAGGTATACATTAAAAATTTAAATTATACATTAGTCATTAAAATTCAATTTGAAAAGAGAAGAAAAGCTGACAAAATGTACATTCACATCAGATGCATCATTCAACCACATGCAGTAGTTATATAAAGATACATGCTCTAAGACCAACACACATCTATGCTCATTCTCACAAAAGCCTTACGCTAGATGGTAAAAAACTTCTTTTATATCTTTCTTTCTTTGTTTTTGGATGTACATATCTGCCGCTGCGTGATCTTAAAATTTGCGTGGAAAAGGGGTATGATGGGTCGTTTACAATGCTTTTTTAAATCTTTTTTATACGTGTGGTGTTATACATTTCATCAATTCTAGTAAAATCATGTCCAGAGATCTTGCAGGCTTTCTTAATGGTTCTCTGTCAAATTTTTCTCTATCTTTCACCTTACAATTCCCACCCCAGCAGCAAATACAAAATAATAGCACACTTTCAATCATAGAAAGGTATAAAAGGGACATAATCTTATTATCAACACGAACACTTCTTAATTTCCTTAAAAGGAACATTCTTTGATTTATTTTTTGATGTAGAGTAGCGTGGGGACGCCAGTCAAGTTTGTTATCGATTGTTACACCAAGATACTTGTAAGAGCTCACCACCTCCATCTCTTCATCTTTAACAAATAGTGGTTGTAATTGATCCTTTTTTACTGTAAAGTCTATTTTTTATTCTTTTGTCTTTTTTACATTTAGTAAAAGGAAGTGGTTATCACACCAATTGGTAACTACATTTACAGCGTCGCTGTATTCATTCTCATTTTGTTGTTAGACCTTGTAGAGTGGAATCATCCGCAAATTTTAGTAGTTTGATGTTTTCGTTACCAAAAGTACAGTCGTTGGTGTAGAGCATAGACAAGACAGGGGAGATTACGCAGCCTTGGGGCGCACATGTGTTCGTGAATGTTAGGTAGGATTTTACGCCATTTGATTTTACATAATGAGGTCGATTGGTTAAGAACTCAAGAATCCAAGCTATGATGTTCTTGTTTATGTTCATGTTAATTAATTTTGAAACCATTCTGTGCGGTTGGATTGTGTTGAATGCGGAAGGGAAAATCAGCAAAAAGTATCCTGCAGTAATTTCTTGGCGTGTCTATGTGTTTATAGAGCCTTATGCTAGATGGTCAAAAACTTCTGTTATATCTTTCTTTCTTTGACTTTGGATGTACATATCTGCCGCTGCGTGATCTTACAATTTGCGTGGAGAGGGTATGATGGATCTGGCGTGGTCAGACGAAAGTGAACAAGCTGTAACAAAAAGCTACCACAGAAAAATCATATGGACAACAACAACAACAACAACAATAATAATAACAACAACACCACCTCTCACTTGAAAGCAGTTACATAGTCCCTTTGCCCTTGTCCTAAAACACAGACGACACACTCACCACCACCACCACCACCACCACCACCACCACTACA